AACGCCCCATAGGATTCTTCTCTGTACAGGACTCCTAATCTGGCAACTCTTTAAATGATTCGGTAGGAAAAAGGCGTTTGGCTTGATACTTCCTTTCCAAAGCTCTGCCACAAAGTCTGCCTCAGAGACTATGTACCTTTTATAATGATTATCCTGGTTCTTGGCCAATCACTTTGGAGAGGATTCATGAATGAAAAAGTATTTGAAAATTTCAGCAAGACTGAAGCTTTCATTTTAGTTTTGATTATTGAGAGGATTCATGAATGAAAAAGTATTTGAAAATTTCAGCAAGACTGAAGCTTTCATTTTAGTTTTGATTATTTAGACCCAGCTCAGCAATACATGCGACTTGTCTCATTCAATTAAATAAATAATTCTGGCATGTCTAATAGGGGCTGAGGACAGAGCCAGATGGTCATCACACACCAAACGAATACAACCATGTTTCTGCATTCAAGGAGCAGGGGCACAAATGGGTACCGTTAATGCATAACTAATCAAAGCAGAGAAAAGCCATAAAGAGCTACAGAAGGCCCCGGAGGCATGGAGAAGGGAGGCAGAGGACACATGCTGATGGGGAGAGCTGAAAAGGCAAATGACTCATTCTCCTGGGGCCTTAGTGTCTTCACCTGTAAAATGAGTATAACACTAGTACTCATCTCATAGGGATGCTGTAAAGTCTGAATGAGATAATGCATGTAGAGCACTTAGCACAGTGGTTTGGACACAATAAGCACTTAATGAATGGTAGCTACTACTATTATTATGAAAGAGGTTGGGGTTGAGGTGAATTTTGAAGGATGGGTAGGTGAGGATAGGTGTGGGAAAGACATTAACCAAGGATGAACTATGAGAAGCCAAGATCATGCTCACTTCCCCTAGAGAAGGGCTGGGGTTAGGAGTCAAACAGTGCTGGCTTTGAATCTGTCTCTATCATTTATAAGCTACCTGAACTTGAGCAAGTTTGTCTGTTAAATGGGAATAAAAATACCCATTTGCTGGGTTGCTCTAAGGATAGAACAAGATCATGAAAGTAAACACCTATTAGAACAAGATCATGAAAGTAAACACCTATTATAATGCATGACATTGAGTTGCTATTCTATAAATGATAGTACTTATTATTACAGAGAAAACTCTCTTTTAAAAGTCATTAAAATGTCATGCAGAAAATATAATGCAAGTTGCCAGAGTGTTAGGGAGTTCAAGGGATTTTGTTGACTAGCACCTACTCCCCCAACTCTAGTCAAAATTATCTACTCAACATGGCATGAAGATATGGAGAAACGTTGAGCAACTATTTCTGGGAATATCAAACTGTTGTGGGTGTAATAACTGCTGAGTATGGGAGAAAGAGACCAAGGAGAGCCCTGGGATTTCAGTCTTGCCTGGATTTCTAACTTGCAAGGTGAATTATAAAACTCCCCAATATTCAAATGAAAGGTTGGACTAGACTTCTCTAGGGTCCTTCCAGCTCTGCAATAACTTTTTCTTTAAAACCAGAGCTCTTCTGGACTTATCGCTTAATGGGTTCAGAATTTCTGCTTGGGATGTAGAAAAAGTTTTGAAAATGGATAATGCAATGATTGCCCAACAATGTGAATGTGCTGAATGCCACTGAAATGTACACTTAAAATGGTTAAAATGGTAAATTTTATGTTATGTATATTTTACTCCCTCTTTCTTCCCCCCAAAAAAGGAAAAAACCCCAGAGCTCTTCTGAGAAGAGGATTTATTGATTTACCTTTCTGGGCCTTCCTTCAGAGTAGGTGTTATAGTCTGCATTCCTCAGATCTGTGCAACATGCCTTGTCTACCGTAACTGAAATCCATTTTCACAACCTACATCCGAGAGCGCAGTTCTAGGAAACCCAATGCTCCACTAGACAATGGCTGGTAACAGCACCTCATGAGTTTGTGTTTCCCATCTGGGTGATCCCTGTCTTCCCCCTTGTTTATTTCCTTCCTTTCCTTTCCCCACAAATAATTTCCACTGGGAAATGTGAAACTATGAAATGTGTGGGAGAGCTGGTGACCGAGTCACAGTGTACCTGGTGGCTTTGCAGGGTCCCTAAGAAGAGTGCTTCAGGGTGGCAGTGCGCTCATGTTAAGTTCACAAGGTCAAAGCACTTTGACATGTATGTTCTCATCGGATCCATACCACACCGTGCCAATTAGCATCCCCTCTTCTGGAGATGAGGAAACTGAGGCTCAAATGATTTGCCCAAAGTCACACAGCTGGTAAACAGCAGAGGTAAGATTTAAACCCAGGTATTAGCACAGTTATTGTGCCACAGCAGCCAGATCTCTCCCATTTCACATTTTGAGAAGTGAGGGTCTGGGGAGTGTATGAGGTGTGATGAGGGGAAGTCAGATGCAACAATAGAAAGTAAAATTAAAGTTCTGAGCACGTCTCCAGCCAGGATGCATTTCTGTCTCCTCTTGGTTTGCTTATTTCCATTGGCAAGTACTCTACCCGACCTGTATCACAGTCATCTGTGGCATGCCTTATTCTTCAGGCAAGATGGTGTCCTAATATTGTGTTCAATATGTGTTTAAGAAAGATTTGAGTATGAATGAGTGGCAGAGTACACATTATTGACGGCAGATCTTGTATGACCATTAGATCCAGGCTGTGAATTAACACAGCTTGAAAAATATAAAATATTCCTAATTCTATAGCATTATAATTGCAGTTAATTGATCACCACTGACTTTTTTTAACCTGAGACAAAAGGCACTTGTTGAGGATATCTTCGTAAACATTAAAATGTTCAAAAATAGACACGACTTTATAATAGCACTCTGTACCATTACAAATCCAAACATTGTATAGTAACTTGGAGAGATGTACAAACATTTTTTGGCACACTTTTTAAAAAATCTCCTCAAAGCCATCCATTTGAATGAAAATCAGCACTGGTACAATCTCTCCAACCCATTAAAAAGAAATAAAGCAATAACTAAACATGAGCAGGAACTGATTTGAAAGTGAGAGCTTATTTTTTTTTGTACTCTAAAATGTTGATTGCCTATGAGTGATTGCTCAAATAATTTAAACTTAAACTGTGAGAAGTATTAAAATGTACTTAAAATATTCCCTACTTGTTTCTACTCACAACAATGCAAGCCTAAATTCTGAACGAAACTCAGTGCACCTGCGAATGCTCACTGCCTCTTTCCTGCTTGAAAATCGGGGCTGGCTGGCTGACAAGGGTGCACTTCTCAGATAATAGGATTATAGGGCTGAGAAGGACTTTGAAATGACCCAATTCGCCACCTCATTTTACAGACGAAGAACCAAGAACAGAGAGGCAAAGGGCTTGCCCAAGGCCACAAGGTCCTCCAGGAGTAAAGCAGTCATTCCCGTTCATGACAGTGTTCTGGGGTCAGACAGCTTTAGGCTTGGACTCTGGCCCCACTAGTAACTTGGCTTCCTCACCCTTAGAAGGAGATTGATCGGTTCTATCTTGCTGCATTGTTCTGAGGATCCAATGAGAACATGTATCTACGCCTTTGATATATGTGAGCTCGCTCACTTTCCTTCTCCCAAACTAGTGCCCCTTCCCCATTTGATGCCTCCTCAATGTATATGGGCATTTTAGATGCACAGAAACTCCTCATTGGCAGCTTTCAGGAGAAACTCGGGAAATTAACTACATACTCATGACAGTTTTTTCTTCCTTGCTTCCTAAAGTCCCTGCATCTCTGCCACTGAGGCCAGGGGACGGCTGGGAAGCACAAGGCAATCCCTGCATTGTTGTGGATATCGGTAGGCCCCTAAGAATGGTAGTGGTGATGATTTGCTTGTCCTGCCCGGGATTTTCTTTTCTTTTGCTTGTCCTGCCCGGGATTTTGCCTTTCTCTTCCACAGCCCAGGGATGCCAATAAAGCAGAGATGTGGGGGGAACATTAAGGTATCCAGTTATGAAAATTTAAAATCTTCATCTTGATAGAAGAGAGCAAAATCTGATGACAATTCACTGAGTATTTCAGCAAAGCAGAAGTATTATAGCAACCCTCCCCCACCCTGGCAGGCCTTTTATGGGGGGAGTAGTAAAAATTACGGTGCATCCAAAGGGTTAAGGGGTAGGAAGTAACTCAGCACATATATGCTTCCTACGTAAAGCTTGCAAGCAGTTTCTCTGGCAATAGATAGAGAGTTGACTTTGGTGTATCCCACTTTTGAATGGAAAAAAGCTCTCTGTATTAGCAAATTCAGACTCTTGATTCACACACACACAAAGGTCTCCTCAAAATTGCATAGTCCACTGGGTATTAAAATGTTGTTTGTTTAACATGGAAAGTTTAAGTTATTGTTACAATATAGTGAAGTTCATTTCAAGGCATCTCGTGTGCTGCCTTGTTTTTGAACACTGCCCTTGAGGTTCTGTGTATTTCCCAAAAGCTCTTGTCTACGGATGGAATTTCACTCAGAATTCTTTCCATTCGTTAAAAATCAGAACAAGTTACACACACACACACACACACACACACACACACACACACCCTGAGCCTTGTTCATTATGAACCATGGGATATGGTAAATAAGACCAAATTCCCCTGAGTGGGGCATGGAACCAAACCATGGATCTGAAGGAATAGCGGTGTGAAAGTCAGAACACAGGGCCCTGGTCTAGATTCTTCCCTGAATCAGCTTTGTGACCATGGGCAGGCCCAGCCTTTCTCTGCTTTGGTGTCCTCCACACAAAATGAAAAAGAAACCGTAGATGTTATCAATTCACCTACTTGGTGGTACCGCCCAATAACCCCAATTAGGCTTCAGCTACAGAGAAACTGGAAGGGTTGCTCAACTACTGGTAAGTCTGAAAGTTAAACTGGGATATTTATTGCCTACAGTCCAACTAGTCGTCTAATCAGTAAAGCTGTTAAACTTGCAATAATATTTCACTGATGTGTACCAGAGCGTTGCAAGTTATAAAATTTCCAATTTAATTTTACTGCATCCCTGAAGCCGTGGTAATTAGAAGACAAACTCACAGTGAAGATCTTTATAGCTTCCGGGGTGATAATTTTGAACCTGTCCTGCAGGTCACTTCTGTCCTCAAGGTTCCCCGATTTGACAGCTGCCTGTAGACTCAGGACTTTATGGTAATACAGAAGTAACTCTTCATCCATCTGATGGGAGCAGATGTAGATGACGCTTACATTGGCATCTACGAACAACAGGCACAGTGTTAATTACTGGTAGAAAGGTAAACGACATTATGAACTCTGGCATCGGATGGATGTGGCACAGTTTAAAATAAAGAGCATATCCAAAGCCACACTGAAGTTAATTCAGATCGGTTTTGTACAGATCTTAGCAGTGTAACTGGCTTTTGGGCGCTTTAACATTCCTCTAAAGAGAAGATATATAACACTCTCCCCCCTAAAATGGACACAATGATTCTTTCAGAAGGAAGGCTGTGAGGTACCATGGAAGTCTACTTTCAAATAATGCAGAGCGACTCAGCCCCAGAACTCCCATTAACATCAATGGGAATTGCATGCGGCTTTAAAAATTTATCCCATTAGCTTCAGTAAATTATGAAACAGAGCTATTAACTTTAAAATGCTGATGAAATGGCAATTTCTTATTCTTCCTGGACTTGGCAAGGCCAATTCGGGAACTTTCCTCTTCAAATAAATCGTAAGATTATGACCACAGCAATGGTTATTTCAAGAGACCAACCGTTCCCCTGCTCCATTCCCAAAGAGGAGTAGATTAATTATGTAGGACATCTAGTGACAGTTTAAAGGAAACACTGTCTTCATTCAACTGTTCTCCTTCTTAAGATGTGCTTATGGACTCAGAAAGAAATCCTAATTAAATACCCCACCCAAATGGAAGTCAGGTGAAAGTTCCCACTCCAGGCTGCAAAATATTTTAAGGAGTATGGACAGGAAATCAGCAGCCAATAAAGTCAATTAATTAAAATAACTGACCAGTAGGAGCAAAGCACTTGACAAGACATGGAGGGAAATACAGGAAGCAAAGCAACGGAGATGCTGGCCATGAGAAGCAACCCTTTCACCCACCCGACAGCCACGAAGCATGGTGGAGAGCAGCGGGCACGAGGAAGCACGCCCACCCGGTGCTGGGGAAGTTCACAGGAGGGAGCTCTGTAAATGTGTCCTCGGTGCGGGAGGCCTGAGAGGGGATTTGGAGACTCCTCTGCTCGGTCTGGCAGAGGGCACAGAGCATAGACTGATTAAATTCTGGCTCAGCTGCCCAGGGACACTGGGTACATTATTTAACCTTTGTAAGCATCGGCTTCTTCATCTGTAAAATGGGGGATAAAATCACCGGGGGCACAGTTTTAGAGCGTATTAAATGAAAGAATACGTGATATTCATAGTTATATACAGGGTGGGCAAAAGTAGGTCTACAGTTGTTTGCATGGAAAAAGGCATGCAGGTATAGCTTTATTAACTCTGTGTTTTGCATACTCACAACTATACACCTACTTTTGCCAACCCCTGTATATATATGGCACCCGGTGCCGTATCTGTCACATAGTAGGCGCTCAACAGACCATACAAATATCCTCCATGGCTTACCCTTCCTAGGCCAGCCAATAGTTACTCCCCGAGCCGCCCTTCACACCTGTGCTCAATGCCTCAAGATTTAACACGATGGAATCACATCCTCTGCTGTTCTGCTGATCTTGTCTTTCCAAACTCCTAAAAGGTAAGGTGCATACTCTTTCTTATATTCTCCCAAGTCCTGATACAGTATAGACTGTGCAGGAGGCACTTACTAAGTACTTGTGGGTGGACTGAAGGGATCTGGGAGAATGGAGAGATTCAGGACCTGGAACATCTCACACAATCAGTGAGCTCCCTGGCATCTGGGGGACATGTCCCGCTCCTGAGACAACATCTGTGGCTAGAAGTAGAGTCTTCCGAACTGACCTGGTGCTCCATAAATGTAACTACGTGAGGGGCTCCTATTTAATTTGGGAACCCAAATGCCATAAACCTCAAAATAAACTAACTTAGGAGACAGTGGTAAAATTGCTGAATGATCAAACTAGTTGTTCCAAATCTTGTGTTTTTAAGACGAGACTAGTGCCTTACCAAACTAGTGGTTTTAAAAACCACTAGTATTTTTTTTAAGTATTGAAAAAGGACACAAAAACAAATAAAAATAACTTAAAGACTCCGTAACAGAAAACTAAATTTTTCTTGGGAAGAAATTTCTAGGCTACAAATGATAACAAATCATGTTGCTAATTTCACCTTTCCTGTTCATTTCTGGCAAAGGAATACATATCATTAACACTAATATCCAGTATTAGTGTGGCTTGACTGTGAATCTATAAACATTCAAAATTGACAGGTAATTTTGGAAAGGAATTAATATGAAAATGAAGATTGCTTTGATTGCTAAGCAATAGTCAATATCAATCACTCTCTTGCTTAACTCATCTAGAAATTGAAAATACTAGTCGTTGCGTCTCCACCTGACATTCTGACTTCATGGTCAATATGTGAATGACAAGTCTTACCAAGATGATCAATCAGATTATCTTTATTTCCCCTGAATAAACAGAAAAAATCAATACCCTTTACTAGGAATTAATGGAATTAAAAAAAAGATACTCATGTAAATGACAGCATAAGGAATATATTCAATAATATGTATGGTGTCAGATGAGTACTAGAATTAGCAGGGTGATCACTTCATAAGGTATATAAATGTCTCATCACTGAGTTGTACACCTGAAACTAATATAACATAAAAATAAAATTTAAAAGATAGTAATTTATTCTTCCACAAGATTGTTGCTAATTTTCTTCGTTTTTTATTTCACAATCAAGTACCTTGTTTAACTACTCCTCTTCAGAGGTTTTAGGATGGCCTTGCTATGTCATGAAGATAGTGTAGCAAGAAAGGGCATTTGATTCATAATCTCTCAGAAATGTTCATTAGCAATATTTCCCATTGCAGGTAGACCTACACAGAATTATTGAATTATTTAAATAGAAGCTTAATACTTTCAAGTCTTTGCTAATAATGAGAATCTCTTGTAAAGAAATTCTTTGGCGATGGTTTGTGCTATATAAAAAGCTAACAAAAAATTAATTCAAATAAATTAGAGCAAAGTCTGCCCTCTGCTGCACTTCAGTGGTTTCCACCCAGTCAGGTTTTTAGTTGAAATAGCTCAGCACTAACAAATCAATCTCAAGTCATTAAATTTATTTTTGTAAGGCTGAAAAACAATATTAGTGCCTAGATAATAGATTAAAGCAATTACACTATTATTATTTTAGGACACTGTAAATTTCAAGTACTGATGTATTTTTGTTACTAAATGGCATTTATAAAATAATAATGATGCTGAAATATATGTGAAGCATGTAAAGTATGTCATTCCAGGGAGCCAGCTGAGTTGGTCATTGATAATTTAAAATCCTTCTTTGTTTTGCTTAAATAAGGGCCAAAGCAATTATATTTTTAACAAAACGAAGAAGTTTTTATTTGGTAACTAATAAAAACCTGGTTTTTGTTTAACCCTGAATTTTAGCTAGTACATCCCAAACTGCTTCACTATTATTGCTTAGCCTTTGCAGCCTTTATTCTTTAAGCCTGGCCAGCACCCTAGCTTTGAATGGTATCAGTCAAATTCTTGTACCCATTGCTCCTGGCTCCAGGTGGTGTCTGATTTAGAATTGACCAAATCAGTATTGGAACTTGACTTTTACAAAGTTGTATCTACCACTCAAGGTTTGTACTTAAGAATTTCCTCTATTAGGCATCCTCTGTTTTCTAATAACTAGATGCTATATATTCGATAAAATCTTTTAAAAATCTATCCTCATTTCCCTCTTATTCTTACAATGAAGACACAATGCTTTTAATTTCTGATACCACCTTCCACTCATTCCCCAGATAATATAATAGAGAATATTGGCACAAACATGGTAATTTCACTCCCTGCAAGAATTAGTAAATGAATAAGATATGGGGCTATAGGAGAGAAATCCTTATCCAAACCTGCAGCAAAGAGAATTTAGAAAACTACCCAAGTAAATTGTTTAAAGATGTCATTTTTTAAATTCAAGTTGACTTCACTATAAATCTGTTCTTTAAAACAAAACATTCAATTGCCCTGCAAGTAAATGAGAAATCTAAGCCTTTTACTTATAGAGAGAGAGAAAAAAAGCAAAAAACAAACAAAAGAAACCCCCTCAAAAACATTTTATCCCCATCCACTGATAAACATTCCAAAGAGTCATTTGTGTAAAAGTATTTACCGTACCTATGATGTCACACAGCCGCCCCAACTGCATGTTCTGTAGAGTGTCGAAGTTGGCAATATTTTGTCGCACAGGCTGGGTATAACCTAAAAGGCAAACAAGGTGTCAAAACCCAGAAAGAGCAAATCAGTATGGCAACATGGCACACCCAGGATTTCAAATGTCACAGTTCACATTTCCAGAGAAGAATTTTCTCTGGAGCATCTTGCAGAAACAGCCCCACTCCGAAGAGTGAGGTCCTCGCTTCTCAGGGGAGTAAGCGTTATTCCGGGAGATGTGCTCAGCAGCACTTTCTGCAACAGACAGAGGTTTGTATTTTTCAATAGCGGCCAGGCTGCTGGGAATCAGGGTTATGAAAACATGGGGAAATTTTCTGACATTTAACATGAATGTTCAAAACAACATGTAAGAAAAATTATGCTCAGGTTAAAAAAACACACACACATAATTTTGGCTTTTTAAACTTATGCTTCCTATGGGGCATTTTGAAGATGTGTCCCAGGCTTATTCTAAACTGACACACAGATTTCAAGAGAAACCTCTTGCTGTCAGGAATATGTCTTTAAGTGAAAGAAACATGCTTCTGCTCACACAGTCAAAAGGACTTTTAACCTTTCAAGGGCAACAAAGGTTCTTGCGGTCAGTGCAGTATTTGATCAGTGCTAACGGAAGTCCTGCCGGTTGCCTTCGTGTCCAGTGGAAACAGAGCAGAAGGAAAACCCACGTGGGTTACTATAAATCTTCCACAGCAACAGACAGGAGCAGCAACACTTCCTGCTAATATGTCAGGGTTAAAAAATATAAGTGAGTGAAAACATGAACTTTAAAGGCATGCATGCTCACAATCAGGTATAATTGCTTACACAAAATTCAACAACTGTAGGTGCAACTCATTTTTTTTCCTCAATAAAATTGCTTTTCATATTTTGAAGAAATGCTTCAATGCCTCCTTGTGGTTAGTGAGCCCAAACACATGTTTCAAGTTAAACTGCCATAGATAAAGTGATTTTAAATACTGCATCTTTGAGATGGCACAGACTTCCTTTTCAGCGAAAGGAAAACTATAGCAATTCAGGCAACAGGGCTTCAGATCAAATGAACTCAGATAATTGGCTCCTTGCTTTGATGTCAGTGTTTAAACACTAGACGACGCCTGGAAATTAAATGAGTTTACAATTCCTCTGAAAGTCTCCCTTTGGCTTTATGCAGATAAACTAAAGAGGCAGAAGGCCAAATGGGTTGTTGGAATTATTTTTGAAAAATTATTAAATTCTAAAATAATTTGGGGAGCCATTCCATGGAATATGAAAATTAATATAGACAGCGACAAACAATGCTGTCTTGGTGTGTGGTTGCAATATTGTAACTTGGGATTTTACATATGTATAATTTGAATGTTTAGAAAGTAGTATTATGAATAACATATATCAAAACTATAAGAAGGCAGAAAAAAATGCCTAAAGAAATAAGGTGTTATTAAGAAAAGTGCCTGAGAGCATTCCATGAACGCATTTCTTTTCGAAAGTCAAGATAAAAGGCAGTGTGATGTCTCATTAAGATGCTGTCCAATTTAAAATATAAAGGATGTCTGGTCACTTTCTGCAGCACAGGAATGAATATATCTGTGTTTCAATCAAGAGCTTGAAGTTAGTTTTCCAACAAAGTATTTAGTACCTCTGTTACCACCGATCAAGGATGCATATAAAGTATCTACACAGAATTACGGGGTATGATAGAACTGGTTACTCCGTGAAACCTACAAATACACCCATTTTAAAGAACTGCATGTTAACAATCTCAGAACATTGTTATAGAAGATCATATGAAGTAACAGATATGAAAACATTTTGCAAAGTGTAAAGTGCTGGGCAAACATAGGCATTTTAATGTTGTGAGGTATGTGCACTTCCAAAGCTTATAAGAACAACAACAAATTCTGTGTATGTTGCAACAGACCGCTCTACTTGGGCAAGATGCAATGCAGTGCACAGTGCCATTGGCAGAGCAGATGTTGGGAGTCAATTTTTAAAAAAATCAGATTTATTCTTATGTTTTGTATATCCACAAAGTAGATGACTCGTAGGTGAAAAGACCTCATTAATGCTGATGGCATATATCAAATACAACAGAGACTTAACCAGGAAACTATCAGCAAGGATGCTCTGGCTTTGGGAACTTCAGCAGACATGCCCAGTGGCAATGAACCATCACAGTTTGGAATATAATCTACAAAGACGGGATACTTCAAAGGTCAGACTCGAAACGCTGGGGGAGTTTTGAGAGACCACTCCTCCTACCCCGCCATGTTATAGATGCGGAAGCTCAGGGGAAGTGCCTTGTCTCTTGTCCAAGGTTGCCTAAACCTACAAGTTATTATACAGCTCAGATACTACAGATTTAGCTCCTGTGACAAATGTGGTTACATAAAATAGAGAAAACAAGACTCTCCAAGTGTGAGCAGAGAACTACAGAAGGGACAAAGAGCCTTTGCCACTCTTAAGACTTTTATTTTCAATTTTGTAATGGGCAGAAGAATGACCCTTCGAAGATGTTCTTGTCCCCAGGCCTGGAATCTGTGAATATGTTAGGTTACGTGGTAAAGGGGAAATAAAGTTGCAAATGGAATGAAGGTTGCGAATCAGCTGACATTAAAATAAGGAGACTGGCTGGGCCCAATGTCGTCAAGGGTTCTTAAAAGTGGAAGACAGAGAGAGGAAGAAGGGTAGAGTTAGAGATGTGACTACAGAAGAAAGGCACAGAGAGCTGCAATGTTGCTGGCTCTGAAGATGGAGGAAGGGGCCAAGGGCTTTTCTTGTTAATTCCTTTGTGGGTGGCTTCTAAAAGCTGGAAAGGATAAGGAAACGGATTATCTCATAGATCTCATAGAACCCTCCAGAAAGTAACACAGCTGCCGACACCTTGATCTTAGCCTTTCGGGCTTCTGAACTACAGAACTGTAAGGTAATAAACTTGGATTGTTTGAAGCCACTAAGCTTGTAGTAACTTGTTACAAGGTGATAGCAAACCAATATGACTTTCTACCTTCCCTTACCCCCCTGTACGCACCACCTCTCTCAGATATCTTGCTTCTCTTTCACTCTAACTGATAGATGAGTTAGGGCCAAAATCCCCAATAAGAACTCATAATAAGCATTAGATAAGTGTTGTTGTTGCTGTTATTATCTTTTTCCTTTCTTAACTTCAGCTGAGCCAGACTGCAATTTTCAAAAGGAGCCTCATTTTTACAAACCTTACTCTTACAAACATAAAATTGTATTTGAGCTGTCAAAGTCCAGTTCTTCTCGCTTATGCAGCTGATAGGCCCTCATCACTGTCAAGTGTGTCGGAACACCCTTTTCTAAGAAGATTCTGTCTTCCCTCACGGTCACTCTCTTGCGCCCTTTCTCTGCTATCCTTTTCTCCTATGTTTCTTTGCTTGCTGGTTTATTGGTTGTACGTCTCTCCTCTCCCCTGCACTACTCTGGCTCCTGTAAACAGACTGCAAGTTCCATTAAAACAGAGACAGTGAGATATCCCCAGTCAAATGAATGAATGAAATGTGTCTCAAGATCCTATTCAAAGAATCTGAAATTCCTAGCCCTTTCTGCCATGTGTTCTCATCATTTCCTCTCCTCCTTTCAATTCTTTTAAAATTGGGTTCCCTGATCTGAAGAATTTCTAGGAAATTCAAAGAATGGTCAGTGGGCTCTGTAGCTTTTCTAGGTCCTCATCTGCATAGAATAAAACAGCAGTGGCCTGACCGGTGTGGTTCAGTGGTTGAGAAAACTAAGAGGTCACCAGTTTGGTTCCTGGTCAGAGCACATGCCCAGATTGCAGTCTTGATCCCCAGTAGGAGGCGTGCAGGAGGCAACCAGTTGATATTTCTCTCTCATTAGTGTTTCTATCTCTCCTTCTCCGTTCTTCTCTCTCTAAAAATCAATTAAAAAACATATTTAAAACACTGGCCTACAGGGGCACTCTCTCCTCATCACTACAGGGAGGAACTCAGCCTCTTTCCTTATGGCCATCCTCATCACCTGCAAAATATTCCTAGTTTGATAGAGTATTCCATCTTTTTTCAAAAAGTTATGCCTCTGCTTACATCAAAGAAGGGTACCCACAAGCTGCCTCTCTAAAGTTATCCAAGTACTTTGCTCCTCTATTGAACCAAGAATACTCATCAATAGTTCAATTATGCTCATAGTGGCTGTCATTTCTCCATCTTCATTTCTACCTTCATCTTTTTTCCCATTCCCACCCTCACTCCCATACAGATGATGCTAATTGACTCTTTGCAAGCAGTAAACTAGCTGTGCTAGGACTGGCTTTTCCTTCACAGAAATCAAGGCAACACTGAGTGACTAAGCCCTCTTAGGACTGTGCATGGCTCTGTGACAGGCCCCTGTGACAGGCCCCTGCCCCTGTAGTACAATCAAATATTTTTGAACACCTGCTCATTAACCTGTGGTTGACTCCTAGTTTCTTTTGTCTCCAAGTCCTATTCCCTGTCATGGTACCTAAGGCAGCAAAGGGGTTTAAAACTGACTTCTAGTTACTAGGTAATTCTCATTCATCTGATCACCCTGGCCTGAGATGGCAGTCAACCATGCCTCAGTATGAGGGACTGAAGCAGTAGTCTCAACCTTTTCCCCATTTTGAAACACATGATGGGAGATGTTCAAATGTATCACACACTGCTAGGCATACGCAGTACAGAAGCAACAGTAGCTCCATCCCTCTCTCGTCCACTCAAGAAAGCATACTGCTAGCTCAGCAAGAGCACCATTATCACAGAGATGATCTTGAATTGCTCCAATTCATTGAAAAAATTATCATTAGTCAACTTTGGTATTCTAATAGTAAAAATTTAGGGGAACATGTGCCAAACTTCACAATTGATTACATGTCACCATATTACAGTAATCTAGAGAAATGTGATCTGGACATTATGGTTATACCCAGCTTTTAATTAGTTGTGCAAGTGTGAAAGCACAAGATACTGAGATAGGAGATAAGATATAGCAAGAGAGAGGCCCATTTGGGTTATTTATATAGTATTCATGGCCCAGTACATGGATTTGTGCAT